TCAGGGGATGGAAAAAGACATCACTTTCATAAGGCTAGAGAGCACAGTGCTAACTAAAACCCAGTCAGTCCTAATTCTCTACAGCCAGGAACCAACACATAAACTACATGCAACCGGAAACGCCAGGTGCAACCACTGGGCACAGAGAATTCAGAAGCTCACAACAGAGCCTGCTCCGAACCTGCATGTTCTCCTTGATCCGCTTCTCAGCAAAACTCTTGGCTACAATCACCACCCCACGCTGCAGCAGATAACGGAGGGAAATCAGGGCAGGAGTTCGTTTGTGCTTTTCTGCCATGGCGCAAAGAACTGGGTCTTCCAAGAGAAACGGAGCGTTCTCGTCAATCCTGGAAAGAAGGGAATGAGGATTGCTTCAGGCTGAGTGTTTACTTTGGACGTGTCTTTCGAAACAGAACGAGGTGCCCATCTAGACCCGAGACTCTCAAATGTGGCCCCTAAGCCAGTAACGTTAGTATCACCTGGAATCTATTCAGAAATCCAAACTCCCCCTCCTCCCTGAGCCAGGCGAGTTAATTCCAGAAAGTTCAAGATTGCAAGATATTCCATCCAATGCATCTTCGATACGTTTGTATTGTCCTTATTACCAATTCTTATATCGTTGGGTGCCCAGAGCACCATAGGCAACCAGAACAATGTCTTTTGATTTGCAGTAATCTAGTAGCTTGCTCTGGTTAAGATAAGGATGGCATTCTACCTGTGAGTGGACAAGATAAAAAAGGAATCAGATTATATGAAATCTCAGAGTACTACAAAGAAGAAGTGTTAAAGCTAAGAGAAGCTGAATTTAGAAGCCTATGCTACATGGAATTTGAAAAGAAAATAGAAACTTCAAGTAATTCTTTTTTTTTTTGGTCTTTTTGAGACAGGGTCTCTCTGTAGCCCCAGCTGTCCTGGAACTCACTATGTAGACCAGGCTGGCCTTGAACTCACAGAGATCCACCTGCCTCTGCCTCTGCCTCCGGAGTACTGGGATTAAAGGCGGCCACCACGCCCGGCTTATTTTTTAATATTTTATTTATTATTTTTATCTTATGTGTATGAGTGTATTGCCTGCATGTATGTAAGTGCACACATGTTGTACAATGCCCACAGAGGTGAGAAGAGGATGTCAGATTCCCCTGGAACTGGAGTTACAGATTGTTGTTAGCCACCATGTCATGTGGATGCTTGGAATTAAACCTCCGGGTACTCTGCCAGTGCTCTTAACCACTGATTCATCTCTCCAGCCCCGGGTAATGATCCTCTTTAAAAAGTAAAAACATCTCTCGGTGTGAGTTCATCCACTGGAGACTGGTTCAGCCTGTCTAGCATCACTCCCTTAAAGATCAACTCTCCCTCACCGACCAGTGATCAGCTGCCAATAGTTTCTAGGCTTAAGGTACCCTAAAGCTCTAGCTTTCCTTTCTGTCTTTTCTCTCTTTCATCATTTCCTCCTATATTTCCCCCTTCATTGCTTTACTGTGAAGATATCAATAGCTTCAAATAAGAGAAACAATGTTTCAAAGATTGGGGGGGGCTTGTTTTCATTTTTTGTTGTGGCCTGCTTGTCCAAAATGGAAGAACTCTGAAAAAGACAAACTAAAATGAACAACTAAATAAAACAATTTTTCTAAGTAAAATTATCTGAGGAGAATCACTTCCGTGGACCACTGGGTGTAGGTATGAAGAAAGGTGATGAAATACAGATATGTGATGGGGGGAAGAGCTCACTGAGCCTTGGAATTTCTGCATCAAAAATCAGCAATAAGGGGCCAGCGAGATGGCTCAAGGGGTAAAGGCAGCTGTTGCTCAGTCCTGGAGGCCTGAGGTCAATCCTCAGAATCAACATAAAGGTGAAAGGAAAAAGCTGACTCTACAAAGTGCCCTCTGACAACCACACATGTTCCATAGCATATGTGCCCCGCCCCCCACACGTAGCCTGCATATACATATACAACAAAATTAGTTTAAAAGTTTTTATAAAGCAGCAGTGAGCTAAATCAATTATAACCAATAGAGTAAATACAAATACATAATTACAAAGCAACGGATAGACAGAAAAAGAGGTATTTGTTTCTATATTGTTTGTGTAATTGGAAGTCAAATATGGCTTTTTATGACACCATAGTTAAACATTTTTAGCAAGAAAATGCTCTTGACTTACTGGGACTCTCAAACTGTACTCTGTCATGTAATAATGGTCTGTTCCACCATAATAACATGGTTTTTATCAGGTAGTTAAATGGGGCTGAGTCATATCTGTCTTTTTAAATTAAATTTTAAAGTTAGCATATAAGGCAGTGGGTCTCATCATGGCATTTTCATACATAGGTGCTGTTATACTTTGTTTTAAGTCATTCCCTCCCCTCTCCCTTTCTCCATCCCTTACACTGTCCTTTGCTGATAATCTTTCTTCCCCCAGAGAGACACTCCTTTGGATTTCATGTCATATATCCTATTATCCCTCCTCAACTTAAGATGTTTTCCTCCCTTGTCATGATCCCCCTTCCAGTTTTAGGACACACGCACACATAAATTTACTTTCGCAAATGATAAAAAAAAAAAAAAGCATGCTCTGTGTCTCTCTGAGTCTGACTTATTTTGTTTAACATGATGATTTCTAGGCCCTATATATTTTTTGAAAATGTCATGATTTCACATTTTTAGCGGCTAAATAAAATTCCATTGTGCATGCACATTTTCTTCATTTATTCATCTATTGATGGATATCTAGACTGGTTCCAATTCCTGGTTATTGTGAATAGTACGGCAATACACAAGGATGTTAAGTATCTCCATAGTACGTTGACTTAGCTTCTGGTATATATCTAAGAGTGGTAAAGCTGGGTTATGTGGTGGTTCTAGCTTTAGCTTTTGAGAAACCTCCATAGTGATTTCTGGAGTGACTAAACCGATTTCATTCCCACTAGCAACGAATAAGGAAGAGCTCCTCCGTCTCTATACCGCTGCCTTTTGTGTTTTCTTATTGCAGCCATTCCGACTGAAGTCAGATGGAGTCTCAAAGCAGTCTCAAATTGTATTGCCCTGGTAGCCAAGACTGTTGAACACATTTTCAAATATTCATTGCCCATGTGTATTTCTTCTTTTGAGATAACAAGGGGGAGGGAGGAAGATTAATGACTTTTCTAGGTTAAAAGAGTTTCAAATTTTTCATTCAGCATTACTATCACTACACATGGGGTAACTTCCTTCCTGTAACCTGGGTGACTGTCATCATCTCCTCTTAGTTTTTTCCTGTTGCTACATTCTAGCCAGCCCACTGGATTTCATGCATTCTGTCATTTATGTTAAGGCCTATCAAGTCAAGTTTGTGTACGAGATGTCCCTCAGTGTGCGTTAACTCACTGGAGCCCGGTCAGCCTATCTAGAGTCACTCCCTTAAAGAAAAACAACTCTCCCTCACCCAGCAGTAATCAGCTACCAATAGTTCCTCAGCTAAGATTGGGGCTTCCTACCCATTTCCCCAGTTCTATGCTGGGTTTTTACCTGAGTGAGTTTGCATGAGTCTTGTGCATGCTGTCACCGTTGCTGCAAGTCCATATGAGCAAGTTCCTGTGCTCATGCACCACCCCTGGCTCTTACAATCTTTCCACCCCCTCTTCTGCAATGATCCCTGAGCCCTGAGTGGGTGAGGTTTAATATAGAAGTCCTACCCAGGGACACACATTCTGCGGTTTCTTTTTCTCTACCCTTTGGCTAGTTGCGGACTTCTATCTACACAGTTTCTGCCATGAGTCTTTCATCCATCCAATCTCTAACCATTCTTCACTACTCAGCAGTAAAGACACCTCCAGCCTGAAACTTAACTGGTGAACGCAGCTGTCCCTGATTATCCTTACATTTCCAAACTCTTCTACACACATAAGCTCTTCCACCTAAGAACTGTTTCATCAAGACTTTACCAGGCAGAGACACAATTAGCATCTTCTATTCCACAAAGTTTAGACGAAGAGGAGAGGAGGCACGTGGGGGCATGTGGCAGTAATACCAGAAGGAATGAGTGGACAGCAGAGGAGACTGGAAGCTCACCTGGTTGCACACAGGCTTGTACTTGAGCCCTGGCTTGTTCAGGATCATCTCCAGCTGCCTGTGGTTAAAGTTGGACACCCCGATGGACTTGGCCAGACCTGCGTCCTTACACTTCTCCATGGCCTAGGGGTAAAGGAGATGATAAAGAGAAATTTATGAGGGTGGCTGTAGACTGATATAAATGCTGTCTTAAAAAGAATACTGTCAAGGAAGAAATCACTAATGGGGGCTGGAGAGATGCCTCAGCAGTTAAGAGCACTGGCTGCTCTTGTAGAGGACCTGAGTTTGGTTCCCAGCACCCACATGACTGTTAACAACCATCCATAACTCCAGTCCCAGGGGCTCCAAAGCCTTCTCCTGTCCTCCATGGGCATTGCATGATACGGGTGCACTTACATATATGCAGGCAATACACTCATACACGTAAAATAAAAATAATATATAAAATATTTTTAAAAGAAAGGAAACTAACTGGTATTGATTACTAGGAAGAGAGAAACTACCAAAAAAGAAATACAGGAAGAAGATGATGACAGCAAAGGAATTTTCTTGTTCTCCTTAGAAATCAGAAAGACAACTTCAGGTAGTGGAAAATATTTCCCCAATTCTTTTCCAGTTCTCTCTAGTCCATTCCAGTGGTGCCTTCCTTCCCCATGACAGAGAAAGAAGTCCAGCAAAGTGCATGGATTTCTTGGTCCATAGATGCATATCTGATTCTCACATGTGAAACTGAGTCCTGACTCCCTCTCTCAGTTTCCTCTGTGTTCTGTATTTGAATTACTCACCTCCCATGTGTCCCGGAGATCCACTGTGTCAAACAACAATGTCCCATTTTCAACTACTGGATTAAAATCATCGCCTGGCTGGAATAGAAGCAACTGTTATTACCATCCTACCGAGTTCATGACTGTCCCCACAGCAACACTCCCTGGTAAGCATAGGGCTGCTCCATAAAAAAGACAGAACAGCATGCCACAGCTTATGTTTGCAAAAGATTGTTGCATGTGAAGCTGTAAAGGATGTTTTAGATGACAGATTTCTTCCACTTTCTCACATCTATCATATGTATTAATCCACAATATTTTCCTAGGTCCTTATGGATATCCTAGTTGACTCACATTGCTTTTTAATGCCACTGTGACTTCCTATGGAGAAATGCCTGCCTGTCACTAAGAAAGTCAATATTTATATGGTTGTGATCCCCAGCACTAACAGCTGTAGCCTTGATATGAGCTAGAGTATCAATGTCCATTTCCCTCAGCACATCAAAGGTCAAAGGTCAGACATAGGAGCTAAAGATGGTCCATCAAGGGACTGGGGACATAGATAGCTCAGTTGCTAGGCAGAGTGTTTGGTAGTATGTGCAAGGCCTCAGGTTCTATTCCTAGCATAGCACACACTTCCTGTGATGGTACACACCTATAATTCCAGATCTCAGGAGGAGAGGCAGGAAGATCAGAAGTTCAAGGTCATTCTTTACAATCTAGTGATTTAGAGCCCAGCCTACACTTCAAGAGATCCTGTCTCAAAAATAAATGAATGAATGAACAAACAAATGAATAAATGAATGAAAGGTGGGTTCATGGACTTTATTTTCAAAAACAAGGGAAACTTGGAAACAAGAAAGTAAACAGGACACTGGAATGTCAATAATTCTTCTGAATAAAATTTGCTCCCAAATCAGAGATAATTTAAGTCAGATTGAAAAAAAAAAAGAAAGAAATCCAAGAGTAATAGCTCTCAGCAGTAGATTCTGGAACTTTTTCAGGGTTAGGGGTTATATTTGTGGCCCCTTCTTTGACTGAAAAGTGAGATATACACAAACCCCAGAATCAAACTAGGAAGTATGACTATTACTTCTCTGCAGTGTGGATTCTTTTCAGAACACCACATGTGTTTACTTGAGGAATTTCTGCAGGGTGTGAGATTCAACACGCTATCATGAGCAACTGTTTTACTAACCTCAGCCAATGTTTCTTAAAGAACATTTTGTGCTTTGAATTCTATTGTGAGATTTTTTTTTCCCAATTTTTAGGCTAGCGTGCCAAGGGTTACACAAAAAGGAACTGTGGGGTAGAAAGCAGTAGTTAACTTTCTTTTTTTGTTGTTAGATAATATCAAGATGAGTTCAATTTCTGTTATTGCTAGACTCAGATTGGAATTGTCATTTGTTTTATGACAGTATTTTATGAATGAAACACATACCTTTACCAAGTCCATGTTCTAGGCATGATATTAACCCATTTAATCTGATTTTTCTACTCTGTAAGTTATGTAGTATTATTATTACTGACTTTTATAGATAAGAAAACAAAGTCATGGAATTTAAGGAACGTACACAATGTAAGCCAACCAATTACTAGCAAAGAGTTCAAAATCATTTAGCATGAGCTGACTGTTTGCATCTGTGATCCCAGTACTCAGAAATTAGAGAAAGGAGGCTCAAAAGTTTACACTGAGGCCCACGGGGCAACATAGCCAGAACCTATTTCCCCATACAAAAAAAAATATATATATATATATTCTGCTTGTTCAGTGCTTTTACCTGGAAGACATTTGAATTTAACTATATTATCCTTTGGCTGCCTGTCACTTACTTTAAATGTGTACAATTACTGGGTATTAGAAAGCAAATAAGTTAAAATAAAAACAGATCACTGGGCATGATGATGCATGCTTGTGATCCCAGCACATGGGTGGTAGAGGAAAGACAATCGGGATTCAAACCCAGCCTGTGCTACATAAGACATTGTCTCAACAAAACCAAAATTATGAGATAAAGCTAAAAGAACAAAAGGGGCCCATGTGTGAATTGAGGACAGAGACTCAATCAGGGTTATTTTCAAGATAAATTTTAATGCTGGAAGATGCAGATATGCTACTAAATATGCATAGCATGAACCGTGAACTGCTCCAAGCCCATATTTGCCACCAATGGAAAGGATGAAAAGAAAATGACAAACAGATGTATTTTAGAGAGTACTCAAATGCAGCAGTGTCATGTGGTTTGGGTCCTTATTTTTTTGCATGAACTACCTTTAGTAGTTTCTATGGCTCATACATTAAATGTATATGAACTTATGTAAGTCTAAATAAATCACTGATGAAATTAATGGTCATGCTGAGGACTGAAGTTAACTAGGAATGAAGATGTCAATGGCTTACCTTCATTGAAACTGGGAAGTGAATGAGATAGAGGTCAACATAGTCCAACTGAAGCTTCTTCAGTGACTTTTCCAAGCACAGTTGAACCAGTTCTGGTCTATGACATGTAGAGGGAAGCTGCAAATAATAGCAAGCAGAAGATTTGTTAGATTAACACATCATCCAAATTTGTGAATTTCCTTCACTTTTCAACTACTTAGAAACTGATAACCAAAGAGCAAAAAAATCTGTTCCATCCTCAGATTCCCTTTGTCTAATCTATTCATGTAAGGTCTGTTTTATATTTGGTTTTTACTAGAAAATCTAGGGAACAGAAGGAAATTATTAATACTTAATATTTAC